TTTCGGTCGACTAAAAATAAAGTAACAATTTATTTGATATTTTTTTTGCCTAAGTCTTATTCTAGAAGTATCTCAAAAATTATACAAACAAATCCCAATGCCATATCATGCGTTGACTGCCTTTCAAGATATAAAAGTTCGCAGAACCGTATGCGTAGGTCTATGTCGAATTACATAAGACAAACTTTGGTGAAGAGATTTATAAATTTATAAAGTATTAGGATTTGTAAACAGATCAGTGATCAAATACATAATATGTCATTTTAAGAATGATAACTGGATTAAGTTGTACAAGTTGGAGTTAATATTCTGAATTAGTTCCGAATTTTATAGTGAAATCAGGACTTTTAGTTTATTTAGAAAGTGTTTATTCATTAAAAAAAATCTAAAACGTATTAACTGAAAGACATATTGATTTGAAAATAGTGCCGTCATCATTATTTAAATTTAATTTTTTTTTATTATTACGAGAAACAAAACTAAAACACATGTACATTGTTATTGTCTGGAAATAACAAAAGTTAGAGCGAAGTAGTCGTATCTTTAGGTTCACATTTTTGGTCGTGACTCTATTTTAACTTTACAGCCATTATTCTTTATCAACGCCAGGACCGACAATACATCACATTTAGTAGAATTTTATCGGAAGAATGCCATAGCGGGTTCAAATGTAAACGAAATAAATATGTGACTTTTTTAATCTTCAACATAATACATTTAAAATGATTTACAAACACAACATGTGTAACAAATATATTAGGTGTTTATTTGAATACTATAACTTATCCTTACTTAATTATAATAACAGTAATATAAATGCAGATGAGAAGTTTTTAGCAAGTACATTCAAAATAAACTTCATAATCCCACTTCAAATGATTTGACCTCCTGATGAAGTTCCTTAATATGTTATTCAATGATCGTACTAAAAGAGAATATTAATGAGAAAGGAAAAGAATAATGACATTTGTAACTGTCAACAGATTCGACCTTCATTTCAGCAACTAACGAACGTTTAGACGGTTCTTAATTTAAGTGAACTAATTCAAATTAGCTAGTAATGAATTCATTGTTCAATTTTAAATGTTTAAATAGAAATCTGATTACATACCTAGTTTAGGTTACAAAAAATAAAATTAAGACATCTTTTTTTCTGAATACCATACCTACCACCTTATTTTATATCGTTACCATTAATTGACAGAGTAGGTGAGGCATTGCGTAAATTATAAAGTTTATGAGTGGAGATTAATACACCCCACCATTCATATATGATCTCCCCTTTCTTGCTTTTACTATAATAATGCTAAATGTGAGTGCGAAACTATCCGTTCTTGGGGGTCCAGGAGTTGGACGACTCGGCACAGCTGTGTCTGACATTATGTTTATACTCGGATTGTCTAAGATAAGGGTAAGAATAGATTCATCTGAATGTCTACGGGGTTTAAGTTAACAATGTTCAAGATTTTTCACCTTTTATACGTATAGTTTAAAATAACAAGTACATAAATAAATTAATCAATATGTAAATTAAATATAATGACGTATTTTATATTCATTACATATATCTAGTACGCAGTACGCAGTAAAAATGTGAGAATATTTCATCTAAGACATATTTTTATTCTCAAAGCTGCTACTGTGTGTAATCAGAAACGAAAATTGCGATATGTAAGTGCTTATTTATTTGCAAAAGCGTATGTAAACAATCTGAAATGTATTTTATTTTTCGTTTACATTTGTGGCAGACGAAAAGTCGTTTGGGGAAATGAATGGTGCAAAATTTTACGTTGATTATAAGAAACTCTCAATCTATTACGTTTTAACCATTATTATAATTGGAAAGTACAGATATAATTAAAACCTACCTACAATAAAGAAAAATCATTAAAGACAATGTATTATTTCTATATTTAGTTTTGATTACTATCAAGGATATTATTGGTACTTATGATATGCTAATTATATGAAGGAAAGGTTTTATATATTTCGATTACTGTGAGCGTAACTTACCAGTGTGGGTGTGACAGTTTAAAAAATATACCTCCTACGAAGTTAGCCTTTATCAACGGCTTAAATAAAGATAAAGACGCAAGACCAAATAGGGCATCAATCAAGGGTTTCTATCTACAAAATTGATATCCAAAGTCCCTTCATTTATCACTCAATCTTGAGCAGTTTATATCAAACTAAAATGCGACCCGCACTTTTTTACTTGTATTTAAATCTTAAGAAAGACTTTTTATGTAAAACTGAATAAATATAATCCAAAATTAGCTATAGCTTGCATATTAATAGTATTTAAACTATCGTGTAGAGAAACAATAAGAGATGGCGCCAGTTGTACTGATTTCATTCTCCGACTCGTGGGCCGTCAGCGTGACCAATCACCCAATCACACCATTCATTGCTGCACGCAGTGTATAATTCACTCGAGCCCATCGTTTCTTATATAAGCGTATAATTGTCAAAAGAGCCGTGTTTCAAACTGAAGACATTATTTTCTATGTATAGCGGTTTGAAATTTATTGTTTCCACATGTGTAGAACGTTCCCTTGTTTTAAAAACACATTAGCATTACTGTCATAACGTATCTAAAACTGTTACGAGAAGTAATAACTCGTAAGCGGTATGGTACATTGATAAAGAGAAATACCAACTGATTGATAGGTTACGGCTATTTTTCTCGCGAGGCGAGTTCTGACTAATTTCTAAACATTACCTCATCAATCAATATCTTACTAACATAGACCTCGCAATGTATGGTAATCAGTGTTATCCATTGGGAACGTAACTATTGTGGTGGAAAATTGAAAAATAGTGGCAACACCTTATTCGGAATTCATTTATTCATTGGTGCATATATGTAGAAGTGTAACCCGAATTTACCATATTTTTGGATTTAGGGTCGTACCTTGTAAATTATTTCATCATATATTATAACCTATGCTTATAGATATAAATTGTAAATAAGGTTTCACTTCTTAATTAAATTAAAACAACGATATCACTCAATATTATATTCTTTTCATTATCAAGTCAAGACATCTTATGAGACAAATGTAAGTTATCCGATTCTCACAGGTTATGAATCGGTATCATTAGCAGAATGATTAATGCTTAACCCAATTCAGTAAACCGGCAGATGGCCACCACTCGCTGCCAAACTATCGCGTTCACTATCAGATACATAATTACCGAATATTAGCAGCACGTACACTATGAAATTAGTCTTTTGTTTATCTGTTATAGGCTTTGTTGCTATTTATTATGAAGCTTTCATATAGTGATTAACGCGATTTTATTTGCGTTATCCAGGTAAACTAGAACTATTTTGTAATTATGATTAATGGTTTACACATATTCATAACCCACCTGTTTTATTATTTTAAATTATCGCCCAATTCGTAAATTATCAATATTAATATCTACTAATAATAAAAAGTGTTACATTTATCGCTAGGCTTTCATGAATAATCTAAGATTGATTAGCATCATCACAATGGCAGTGGGATATTCAAATATTAAGTGTACATTATAGTGACAAAACGTTCTTATAAAGACATTAAAATCGTTATTGATTATTAAGCAGCACTGACATAAATTTCTGCAGAAAATCATAATAATCCTCACAAAAATCAACTGACAGGCCGGGTCCTTTAAAACCAATTTGTATCGGCTTTACGATTACCCGGACCATCAAACAAGGGATGTTGTTTTTATGTCATATTAACTATGATGTTACTTGCCTTTATTTCGCCGTAAAAATTAGATACAACCAATTTTGTTCTAAGTGCATAAGATAATCGAAGACTCGTAACAAACGATTGCTAACGCATTTTAAATTCACCCACCCATGCATATTACAATTAACATTCTGTATGCATCATTGTGTTTGTCTATAACGTATGCTATATATATCCGTATGTATAAGATTTCAATGACAATAAAGCTATTATTCCCGTGTATTGTATTCCCTAGATTACATTTTCAAATTACAGGTTTACAAACCGTCCAAGCAATAATTACAGACGAATACAATTGCTGTGATGACAATTAAGGTTTGTTTTTATTTGATGACATTTTGTGTTCGTTGTAATATTTGTTTAACGCACGTGGGAGTTTCGTCCCGATTGCTGTTTCGATGCATGTGTTGACCTCGGCGTAAATTAACCGGAAACTTTGGAAGGATATTGTTAAATTTCTTGAATATCTTTAAGGCTATTTAAATATGAACACATTACAGATATGAAAACATTTAAAACAATTATTTTTACATATATATACCGTCGGCCAGTAAAATTTAATATACCTATTCATCTTTAACATAAGTGTTTTTTTGTAGTATGAAATGAAAGATCTGTGAAAACAAGCTTGAATTTTTGGTAACCGATTGAATTGATAAAGATGAAGAATTAAGTGTTATGGAAAAATTAATGCACTTTACAGTTAAAACAACAACTCATTGTGTTCAATATATGTATGTACATATGTATAATGAACATAGATTACTATTCTTCAAAAGGAATTTTTATATAATTACAATAGTGTCTTTCGTTAAAATTGATATAAAAATGAATAAAACAACAAATAAGTATAATATTTAACTTTAATGGGAAAAATCTAAAAACATTTGTCATATGAGTACTTACTTAGGCATATTTAAAAAACATCTATTATATCCGACCAAAATTCAATTTGTATTAGAGACGAAAACGGAACTTAAAAAAAGGACTGTATAAGAATAGATTTAAATTATTTTAAATATGAATGCGTAAGGGCGGAACAGTCTCGACATGAGCTCATAATAGTCGTGCGTGCTTCTGTCAGGCAAGGCATGGGTGGTCTTGTGGCTAACCTACATATATCAACACACTTTTTTACTATTTGCTGCAGTAAAGCATGTTTGTAAGGTGTTGGAACAACTAGGTGTGATTTGTTGACCCTTTAGACTTTAGAGGGTATCGATCTTTGGACAAAAATTTTTTGCTTCAATTCAAATGGATTATGACCCGATTATGTGGGAGGGTGATTCAAGCAATTGTGATGTTGGTACGTGTGTGTATTAAAATTGATGTGAATAGATAATATGCACTTTATGAAGCCCGTTTAAATAATTTAGATAATTCAATAGAAATCTCCGTTACAATCTAAATGGAATATCTTATTTTGGTTGCAAATAATAAAAAGATACAAATACTTTTAAAGGAAAAACACTAATTTAACTCTCCGTTGATGATTCAGTTTTAATTGTAATAATTGTGTATGACATAATTGAAGCGGTCCTACTGTTTATTAATGTTTCTATTTGCATCGAATATGTTTTCATACTATTTATTTTTAAAAATTTTGTCTTTTTGTATGTAATTATATTGAATTTAAGATATCATTTAATTAATCTCCTGCAGTTATTTTATAAACAAACATAAGTTTAAAAGATAAATAAGGTATTTATTAATAAAAGTAATCAAGTTCTGTAACAGCTTTTATAATGTTTCTGTATTGGTAAACTTAAAAAAAATCTTACCAATATGTTTAACTGTTACAATCTTCTTTGTGTATTAAACTGTCTGTATAAAATATAGTAGCAGCGATTGCTCATTGGCTGTAAAATGGTTATCTAAAAAGATACAAATGCGTCCAATAGCCTGTGCTTTCGAACAGTTCTTGTTTGTTTATTGTTCATCGTTCAGAAGTTTCTAATTACTCGTTATCGAATTATTATCAACTTAACAAATAGTATTTAATTTCAAAACAAAGTCATTAATTTTTTTTTCTTGTTTAAATTTTGTTGTTATAAACATTTAGGTTAGAGGAATATATTTTATAAATTATTAATAAATAACTATTTGATGGGAAATTTTTAATAACATATTAATAACTACTTTTTTCCATCTAACCATGACGGATACAACTATGACATTTTATGTTAAATAGCTTTACAGTTAATAAATATAAACAACATTGTTTTTGTATTCTTTTTTTTGAAGCTGATCCGCAGCGCAAGTTGTTAGCAATTACTGGACAAATTCGCTAACAAACCGTAACTTACGTTGATCGAAGAAGCAGCGGTCCAGACCATTCATAACGTATACAACCGCATAGTGCACTGAACACACAATTTTTATTTGTAACGTTCACAAACACTTCTGGTTGTCGCACTGAAAAACAAATCACAGCGTATGTTCAAACTTGTTCACAGCACAACGTCAGGGAGGATGTTCGTCCACAAACACGGAACTTTTAGAAGATGTTGCCGTTAGTACTGTCGGCGCGCGACTGAAGTGCGCGCGGCGCTCCGGCAGGCTGCCGGTGGTGGGGGGACAAGGGGATGCGTGCGTTCGGAATCCACTTCCCACGTGCTCCGTTCCGTCCCTTTCTTACGGGACGGGTTAGCTTTTTAAAAGCGCGGCCCGTCGACGCATCGATATGCCCGGGGCGATGTTTCTCAGTAACCTTGTTTATGCGTACTGCAGCTAATAATAACACGCGAATAACACTCGTCGCATTTGTTTTCGTTTGTTGCGTTTTTTATTGTACTTCACTTTGACTTAAGTTAGTATCTAGTGCAATTGTACTTTCTTTCGCTTAGGAATGTTCTTTTAAAATAAAAAGTAAGGTTCCTTTGATTTTTAATCTTGCATTTTTATTTTGGTGTCTTTTATTACTAATGAACATCAGTAATTTGGAAAAATAAATATGTATATTAGAATAAAATAGGTAAAACTTTTTAACAAGATAAGGGTTTAAATAAGAAAATATCCTAATTCATGGAATGATTAATATAGGCTACACACGTTGGTAAAACGAGACAACAAGAGGGACAAGTTCAGAAAGGAGACAAAAAGTTAATGTGTTTCTTAAAAACTTATTTTCGATGCACCTTATCGCCTTGTCAGTCATCACTATGTTTTACTGCTTTTTACCGAATACTAAAATATACGGTTTGACTCATTGTTGAAAAGTTGGTTAGGTTTGATTTACGACGTGTTTCAAATGGATTTGATATTTTATATTCTATTTTTATTATAATTGGAAACTTTAGATTTCATACAATCAATTTTTTAAAGCGTTATTCTCACAAAGAACATAGATATTTTCGTATGAATTGAATTCTGTTTATTCATATTGATAATTTCAATAACAATCTAAACTCCTGTAAAAATAATAGATGTATGTTATTTTATTTAACCCTCACTATCTATATTAAAACGACTCCCACGTATTCCAACCATTAGGGATTCCTCGTTGGAGTGTTAAGAACATTACAAAGCAGTATAATCTAATAAATAAACAGTGGGGACATTTAGTCGGAGTGATTAAGGGTCTTCGTCTTTGAGACTATACGCTAGAAATTGTTACGCCTGATGATTTTGATTGTCACTCCCAATTTGCTGGTACCTATAGCTTAGATGAAACCATACATGGATATGAAATAACTTGAATTTTCGTTAAATTATAATATATGTAGAATACTGAATGAACTAACTAACGTAGCGACTACAGTATCAATTTCTAGAATTTGACATTTTGTGACATGAAAATATAGGAGATACAATCATGAAATTGCTAATGGACAAATTGTCAAATATAAGCGGTATTTGAGAAGTTAAGATTTCGGTAGAAAGTGCAACTTTAGAACACCAAGTTTTTCCCATACAGCGATTTAGTGAAGTGATACGGCCACTAGGTAAATTTCATCACATTTATTACGTACACAAATTGGTTTGAATGCAATTTCAAAGTAAATACCTGAGTGTAGTCAATTTTTTTCTTGTTTGTTCCAATCCAATATTCAAACATAGCGGAATACAAATTAAAACAAAAATAAAATATTGTCAGTTTTTGAACAATACCATTTGTAAAATATAGAATAAAGGATATAATATTGAAATAAAACTAATATTTTAGGATTTACTACGCTTTTTAATTATTTTAACTATGAACTCCCGCTGTTTAGGTTACTTTGCAGAAGACAAGACGAAATGCGAATTTATTTCAATTTTCAATATATACTCCCGAAAGTCTTCGATCCCATTAAAATATATGACATTTCTATATCTTCTTCTTCTTCTACCTGGCAATTTCCCAGCTATAGCTAGGGTCTGCCTTACATCTTGTGAATAGTTTTTTTTTGGCTATTTGTTTTAACGACCGGCCGCCTGCCTGACATCAACCCTCTTTTTGGGAATCAACATTAATCAGTGATGTCTAAATACTCTTAGAAAGTACATATGATTCGGAAAAATCACATTGGTACTTGCCCGGGCCAGGATCGAACCCGCGCCCTCGGCGACGCGAGGCGGGCCCTTTAACCACTGAGCCACCACTGACTTTAATAATAACATTTCTATATATATATATATATATATATATATATACAGGGTGACTGGTGAATTTGGAAAGGGATCACGTTGAATTTGGAAAGGGATATGTTCAGCTAAGTAATATTTATTGTTACATTAATTTAAAATATTTATGTTATTATTGCACAAAATTTAAATGCAAAATATCTTAATTACAAAATTTTTAACACGTAAAATATTCAAAATGAGAAATATATTCTAAAATTAAAAATATTGCATATATATAAATATATATACAGGGTGACTGGTGAATAACTATCGATATTTGAGGACGTGATATTTGACGATCATATATGACAAAATAAAAATTAATAGAACATAAATATTAATAAACTTCTAAGTAAAGTTAACCAAAAGTTGTGTAATTAATTACGCATCGCGTGAACACCCTACAGATTAGGTATACACACACACACACACACACACACGCGTCGGCGGCGTGGTGTTGTATCAGCACGCCGCCGCACGCGTCCACACTTGGAATACTTGGAACGTATCCACACTTTATTTATTTATACGGAAATTTGGTCAAAAATTAAGTACCTATTTTTTTTATATAATTCGAATGAGTATCATGTACCGAGTATGCTCCTTAAATATTGATAGTAATTCACCAGCCACCCTGTATATACATATACATATATATATATATATATATATATATATATATATATATATATATATATATATATATATATATATACATATTATTAGTTTTATTGATATACATAATTATTTTCAAATTATAATATTATGATTATATCATGTAGAATGTTGATGCCTCTACAATAGTTATTAGATACTTATCGATAAAGATGTATAACTATTGATATTAGGATTTTTCATGTACATGACATTAACAACAATTTTATTTACTAGCAATAACAATGTTTGTTTGGGTACAGCGTCGGTAGAGGGTATCTACTATGAATTTATAATATTCTGCTTACAAATTTCTTAAGATGTTCCAAGCAAGGGCAAGCAATCAGCAAGCATACCCTGTATGGAATATTAATGTATCAGTGCCATACTTTGATATACACTAGTATATCAAAGTAGTAGTAGTTGGTAAATGCAAGTGCACAACACTGAGAAGATATTAAATTCTGCCTAATTATGATCCGGTATTAGCTAATAAGGTTTAAAAATGTCACCTCAACTAAAGCGTTAGAAAAGTAATAAGATAAAAAACAGAAAATAAAAAGGTGTTCCATAGTTTTCGTTTTTAAATCGGATATTAAAATTAATAAAATTCTGTGAAATAAAATAATACCTTACACATAAATCAGTTAATCTTGTCATTATTGGATACTATACATTTTTTGTTCGAAAATTGTTATAATTAACCAACCTTTAAATAATTTACCCCGTTATTTTACCTTTTCACTCATTATTATTATGAACGTCAGGAAACATCAAAATTATTTCTTTTTTAAATTTCTCTAATTAAAATATTAAACTCTTTTGACATCTCCAAGCTAAACTTTCTAGAACTTGGCTCAACTTATATAATCTTCACGTAACAGTCTCGTTGTCGTATCAAATAGCTTAAAGAGTATTCGCTAAGTGTATTAGAACTTTGTTACACTTTATTGGCGTTGAAGCGGTGTTGCCAGTGCAATTTTGTTTAACTAATAGTATATAACGAATATCAATTATTCAAATCCATATGAAGTGTAGCAAATTATAAATATTTTTAATAGTGCATTTTAAATTAAATAAATAATAAAGATACTCCTAAGACAGATGCTATTCAAAGAAATGTAAAATAATATTTTAACTTAGTATATGGAAAGCTCGTTGAATATACAAGTTATTTATATAAATATGTTATCAAAACATGAATCCCATTACATACAGGTACTCTATAATTCTGAATATAAACATACGGAGCAAACTAAGAACTGACATAAATTATACATGAGAATGCCCCATGAGTGAGATGTGTTAACATTGACTTCGAAAATATAGAAAATATCGTAGTATTATAATATATAATTATTTCCACACATTCCATTTAATTCTAGTTAACCATTTAAAATGTTTCCCTTTAGGTACTAGATTCGTATCCTACTGATTTCTTCTTCCCATTTCTAACTTTATCTAGGTGCAGACATTATTTTTGTATGTAATACGCCCAAATGATAGAATAAGTAAACGTAAATCTCATGTTGTCCTGCTTCTAAGGCCTTAGCAAAGTGCTTAAAGCGTAGCATAACTCCAGCGCATTTAACTTAAGCTAATCCAGCTATAACTTGCAAGTTATCCGCTATTTTATTTGCGGAGGCATGGCTTTACGAGCCTTTTAGATTCGATTTCGGGATCACGTTTAAAAGTATTAGTATGGAAACATTCCTTAATATTTGTCAATGTAAAATAAACAGGAAAATTATTATATAATAGTTATAGTTATTAAAGTCATTAAATTTTTACCTTCAAATTTTTTTTTATTGTGTTTATTACGTACAAATATATATTCATATAAGTACGATTCTCTTTGGGATATTTTACAAATATTAAATATATGCGTGCATCATCTTCCGCATACGAAGGCAGATATATTATTATATCTCTAAATATGTTACTTAATCTAGTGGAACTATACATAACAAAGGTCGTAGGGATGCGAAACTTTTCCTAATGGATTGTGTTTTCATTAAAAAAAAAATTGGGGTACCTATAATTTAATAATCAATAACTTAAATGATAACTATCAACTTGTTTTATTTATGTTCATTAAAAGGAAAGGTTGTAATGGAAGCAATCACTTATTATAAAATATCCTATTATGACGAATAAGGTATGTGAGGTAAAATTGTAGGATCTCACAGGAGATCCGATGTACCCCGTCTCTGACCACACATGAATTAAGCCAACCCTACACATTAGTGCACTAAACTTGACAATAACTTAATTTTAAGCAATGAAGGGTGAATCCCCTGCGGATTGCTGTGTCAGGGATGACAATCGCTTCAGTTTAATCTCATTAGAAGAATCGATGAGGTACGACGTTAATATATGTCTGAACTC